TCTTCTCTTTTCGATCTTTAAACTAAGAGAGGTCTAAGAGGTCGAATCTTCACGGAATATTGTTTTTTCGATTCGGAGATTGGAAACTTTCTGATTTCCTTCCCCGATATTTTCCTTTTTGTTACAGCGGGAAGAGTTTTTATTCCGGTGATAAAATTTTTCGAAATTTTCTAATATGGAAGAATATTTCTAAAAAATTTCTTAAAATTATCTTCCTTTGTTATATTTCACACAATCCTCAAGTTCATCTCCGTATAAATTAATTAATTTCCACGACAAATTTTTCCATTAATCTCATTCGTTAATTTTCGAAAGAGAATTTTCTCCGAACCGTGATAATGCTTTTCTTTTTTTAAACTTCCACTAAATTTCACGCCACGTACAAAATGATTTTTCCATCCCCTCGGCTGGTTCAATTCCTCGAATCCCGGCCGGCAATTATTCGAACGTATCGGGGAACGGTTTCGCTTCTTCCCGAAACTTGTTAAAACGCGTAATTCCTCTTTCTTCCTTTTTCCCTCCCCTGACCATCCCCTCCCCTTGTTCCCACCCCCCAGGACGGGCGGTTTTCGTTAAAATTTGATCGTACATTATTAGCACCGGCGCAAAATTACGGTGGCGCCCTCGATATCAATAAATTAACCGCGCCGCAGGACGTTCTAAATTGCATTTACTATTTCCCTGCAGGGCATTAAACATAGAACGACTTTCGTAATCGCAGTTGTACTAGGATTCGATTACACCGGCTGCCTAAAATTTAATTAAATCGACACACACGCGGAGAGACCCGGCGTCCACGTATGTACGGCAGGCGCAGGTAGCACTCTTCGGCCGGCGCGAATTCGATAGGGCGAAAATTGTGAAATTTCATTTACATCCGGGATCCGGATTCAATTTGTCTCGATCATTGACCGATATAATTTTTTTTTTTTTTTACGTGTATTCCCGTGACGTAGGTATAGGAACACGAATTTTCGTTCGTGGAAAATGTAACGAGGGAAAATTTAATCAGGCTGGCACGATTGTCGATATCGGTAAACATATTCGTTGTTTCTTTGAATCCTTTTTTTTTTTTTTGTTCGAGATAACTTGTACCCTTTCCTTCTTCGTTCTATTTCGTTAAACGAGGGGGGAAGTATGAAGTAAAATTTGTACGATTCAAATTCTTGTTCGATATCAGCGTAGATTGAAATCGTCGATGATTTTGTTTTATAAAAAATTGGGATAAATTGAGTTTACTTTCATCGTTCGAACAAACTTGAAAAGACTTTCCCCTTGTTAAATATACATAAAAATGCGAAAAATGAAACTTATCGAAATTATTATCATTTTATCAAACATTCTATCTTTTAAAATTTTCCAAAAAGAAAAAAAGATAATAACAAACCTATTCCACTTTCGCTCTCTCGAGATGACTTCACCACCCCCTTTCTCGCCTCCCAAACGAACTTACTTTCCAAACTAACGAAAACAGAAGGAAAGATCCTGTTTACAGTCGTATTCTCTCGAAGCATAGCCGTACACTTAATTTTCCATCCATCTCGTGGCAACGAGAATCTCTCTCTCTCTCTCTCTCTCTCTCTGAATTTTCTTCCACGCGAATGGCACGCGGGAAAACAGAAGGATAATTTCAAGAGGGAAAAGAGAGAAAGAGAGAAGAATCCGTAAGAGCGTTCTCTCTTTTCCGAGCAGTGGTGCTTTGATCAGGCGCGCTGGATTTACGCTCATCCTCTGCCACCCCCTTTCCTCCATTCCTCCAACTCGTTCTCCCCATTCGTCGATCCTTGTTGCAACAGAGTTCGCCGTGTTGTAACGGAGTTAGCGACGTCTTTGAAGGCGCGCGACTCGTCGCATTGTCGAGGCATTTCAACGAGGTTGAAGCACCCGACGGAAGTGGGTGCTTCTGCAACGCCATTGTCGAGAGAAAGAGGAAAGGGCGGCAGAGGTTGGTTGGAGAAGGAAGTCCGTTGAAAGTCGGCCTTTGATTTTTCTTCGCCTTTATTTGTGAGGAGAATGGTAATTACGTTTGAGAATCGAGGTAATTTTGTAACACGTGTAATGGATTGGTTAAGAAACGTTTAAAGCATATGTAGATTTTTAAATTTTTAGACTATTTAGACTAGTAAATAAAATAATAAGTAAAATTTTAGATTGGTAAAACTTTTTGTTCAGAATATTTTTTTATTGAAATATTCTGAATGGGATTTTTAATAAACAGTCTTTTTTTGGTTACATTGGTGATTGATCGGTGGAAATTAAATTCTGGAAGATATATTATAATTACAGAAAAAAAAAATTTTCATTTTTAAATTATATAGCAATCGAGAAGAGCGTATTATTAAAGTTTCGCATCAATTCGTAAATAATCTTATATTTCCTCTTTTTTTTCTTTCACCATGATTAAAAAATTAAATAAAGAATTTTATTGGAAGGAAACTTGGTGGATGGGTAACAGATATTACGTCCACGTATCTATCACGTCAATCTATCGTGCCAGGTTTTAAATTCTAATCAACGATTCAACGTTATTCACGAGACACCATAAAGGGGATCGATACACCGGAAAGACGAATCGGTCCACTTGGAGCTACCCCTCCCTCGAAATTTATGACGACGAACACGATTGTCCGCCTTTCTCGAGGATCGAAAAAAGGAAGGGGATGGGATGGGATTTAGGGAGACGCGGCAGTTGTTGGCCACGGGTGGTAAATTTACAGCTGTAATTTACGCGATCGTCGAATATCCATCGACGTGGAAGGAACGTGGGAAACGTGCGCGAAACAGCCGGAGGGGGTGATTGAGAATCGCCTTCGAGACGCGATTTAGGAAAAAAACAAGGAGGGGAGTTGCGAGGAGACAGACTGATGGCTGTAACAGCATCGGTCCCATTCTCTTCGAAACGCGTTTCCGGTTTTCGGAATTTTCCCCGCGAATTGCACAGAATTTTTCTTTAAATCTCACTTGGAACTCGTCTACGTATTATTTTGCAAAAATTTTCTTCTGGTGGAAACTTGGTGTTTGCATATTTGTTGCCCTTGGATTTTTTTTTCTCGTATATAATAATGAAATTTCGTAGAAAATTTAGTCAGAGAGAGGTTTGTTGATATTTTTTAATAGAAAAAAAAGAAAAAATAGTGGAAATTTATTGAAAAACCTCCCCAATACGGAATCGACACGATACTTATAAAAGCAATTATAATTTCACAGTGAACTACTTATAAAGTCGTCTTTATGGGTAAATTAATACCAAACTTGGCGAGAGAATAATTTCGCAAAAAAGAAAAAAAATTAACAGAAAAATCCCGAGAAACTAATAACCTCTTCTCTTCGAAGAGCGTCTCGTTAATTATTCGAAATTGCTTCGCGATATTTCTTTTTATCCTTATTATCGATAGATTTCTTAATCTCGTGAATTTGCCTCGACTAAAAGAAGT